TTAGTATCCTTTATCAGTAAACTGTCCAAAGTGTACACTCAGGCTAATATACACCGACGGGTTAAAGCTAAAATCCACCCCCCTGTTATTATTTTAGCTCAAATTCGTTTCTTAGCATTACAAATAATTCTTAGGAAAATGTACACCCCCCCCCCCGCCAACTTTAGTAAACATGGTTACCCAGGATCAAAGATGTAATGCAAAGAAAGTTATTTCAGAAGTGTACGCATCTTTTGTACTGCAGTGTCTGCCTCTGAGCCTGAAATTTAAAAGAGTATCATTGAACGAGACTCCTAAGTTTCCTTTTTTGGGTCTTAACACTTGTGTAGATTTTGTTTTAAGAGATTCGAAAAAAATGGAAAACATAAACAAACTGAATTATATAATATTTCATAACAAAAATATTTATTTTCACAAAACTCCCTAACCCCGTTCATAAAACCCGGGTTTTAGAACTGGTTTTAATAACGATACCCTGTCTTAAGTTTTGGGCTCTGGGCGGTAATGTAAACACAAGACGGATGTTACCGCCTGACATGGGATCCATTTTTCACATAAAAAAATCAATGAAATATTCTGGTCGTAGGAAGTTATTATGTAAATTATCAAAATTATCGTTGAGGAGCTAGACTATATGGAAGCTTAATGCGTTTAACCTCCTCGGATACGAAACGAACACTGATCTATTCTTGTTTACAAATTCCGCCCAAAGAGAACTAGTTTCAATATGTACGCAGAGTATACACGACCGCAATTAACTTTCCTTGCATTACACCCTTCCCCAGGATGAAACTATTGGCTGTGAAAACGATTTGAAATTCTTTAATTTGAGTCTTCTCCTTTGAATGGACCATTTAATGATTTGGTGCAGAAAGAATGAAGTTTATAGTTGCATGAAATCATGAATATAAAGAAACAGACAGTATAAATTCCGTACAGTCGTATCTAAAGTCTCATCCTTTGTTGGTAAGACTGAACAAAGCTTACGTAAGTGAACAAAGATATTTTCAAATCAATTTTGTTCTGATAAACTCACAATTTTACATTTCCTTTCATGCTAAGATCTCTAGAACTTTCTCTGAGATATTTATTTCTTTGTATTTTCAATTTATATAAAAACTTGCTGCTGTAATGATTTTTAAATTATAAAAAAAAACAGTTTGATTTGATTTTTTATTTTGTTTACATTTTACCTTATCAAAAATCTTGTTTTGTTATGTAAGTGCGTAAATGCTTAAAAATTGACATTGATGAATTCCGGTAATGGTCTGAAAACCATGAAATGTTCCGAAAACGCGACATGAGCTGAAATCCAGTAATGGTTTCAAAATAGGGATATATGTTCAAAATTAAATCAAGAATCATAAAATACTAAGTCTCACACCTTATTATTAGTTTAAAATTTACATTTATTGTTTCAATATTTAGTTTTTGCCATTTTTTTTACTCTATACTCTTATAACTTTGCAGATTTGGCCCATTTCTAACACACAGTGTTAGAAATGGGCCAAGAGTTAGTTTTGGAACTAATATCCCCTGAAATTCAAAAAATCTATAAAAGATTAAGATAGAAGATGAATGAATTAAGGTACTACTGCAATTAAGAACAATATATAAATAGCTTGATAATTATATCTATAAAATTCTTATATCAAAAAAAAAACCAGAAGAGATTACTACTTTATGTAAAAAGATGTATTAATGGTCTGAACAGATGTTGAATGAGTGAATGATTCTTATATTGATCTGAGTGACGGATTGACTAGAAATTGAGTAAGTAAGTGATTTTTATGTTGAACAGAGTGACGGATTAACTATAGAAACTGAGAGAGTGAATGAATAATCTAGCGAACTGTTGGTTTACAGAGGGTAGATCTTGAAACATGGTTTGGAATACCCGGTACAATTCAGGGATTGATAATCTTTCTTTTAATAAGGAATTAAAATTAAAAGATGTAAAATAACAAAACTTTGATTTGATTTGCGTAAAAATTATTTTTATGAAAAGAAAATTTGCCCTGAATCTGCTTCAGTGGTTCAAGTTTGGAAAGCCCAGAGTTAGGTTGAATATATTTAAGAAGCTGGGATGATATTTTGTTTCAGTATCTTGCTTCTCTCAACCATGAAAACAATTGTTTCAGTTTTGTTAATAACAGCACGGTTGGGATCCCCTTCTCCGTTATTCCAAGAAATTGCTGATTTTGTGACAGGGGTTAAATATGTTCCTCCGACCAGCGGTATATTTGTTCCGACAAACAATCCACCGACTCCGGTAGGTTACTCTCCTCCGGCTCCGGTAGGTTACTCTCCTTCGGTTCCGGCAGGTTTCTCAACTGCTCCTCAGAAAAAGGAATCTTCTCCTACAGTAGTGTTTAAGGATGATGGATGGTTGCATAGCGGAGAAACAGAACAGTTCTATCTACTAGGTGAGAAGGATATGAATTGGGATGAAGCTAGAACCTGGTGTACCAGCAATCATGGTTTTCTTGCCGAACCATCAGATTCTAAAGAAAACTTTGCTTTGAGTAATCTTCTATCCCGGAGAAAGGAAGGATTGGATAACTTCTGGATCGGTCTTCGTCGACCCTTCAACCGGTGGGAGACCAGCCGGAGGTTGGTGACCTGGGGGAACTGGGAGGTTCAGGAGAGAGCAGCTGCTGGAAACCGATGTTTGATTCTCAACGGACGGAACTTTAAGTGGGAGAATCAGGATTGTAGTTTAAATCATGGATTCAGAGCGCTGTGTCAGAAATCTGGTAAACAGCTGGAACCTGTTGATGGAGTTATTATCGAAGCAAAGGATACTTCTGACAACAAAGGTATTGCTAAACAATGCGTGGTTAAAGGAGTGAGCTTGGATCTGACAAACTGGATTTCAAGATTGGAAAATATTGAAACTGTAGCTCAGTGTCATAACAAGTGCTTCAACACCCCGTCCTGTAGTTTCTATTCCTGGAGCAGGACGGGGAGAAGATGTTTTCTCAAGGAGAAGGATTCTATTGTTGTCAGAGATGACGGGAGTGAATCTGGAACTGTTCTCAGATCTAAAGGTTGTAATCAGCCGTTCTATGCTGATAGGGAATCCCGGATTGAAACCTGCTCCTGTGAGGACGAAGAAGTGTTCTCTGCTGGATATTTAGATCCTAGATCTTTGCCCTTTAAAGAAGGAGATGATGTGTATAGTGAGGATAAAGATCATCTAGGACGTATCCTGCACCGGTCCGCCTGTCCAACTGGAAAAACTCTGGTTTGTACTGATGAAGATGATTTTGTTGAGTCCAAGACTGAATCCTTGAGAAATGTTCGTCCTAACATTACAGATTGTCTAGTGAATGATGTTAGGTTATCTGCTGGCAAATCATTCTTTACTCTGTATAATGTGAGCAACCCAGAGACATGTCATGCCCACTGCCTGTCTACCACAGGGTGCAATTATTGGACATGGAGAGGAGATCTAAGCAACAGGGTTTGTTTCCTTTTAGAGGAGGAGGGAACCATGTTCAGGAGAGCAGGCTCAGCTTCAGGTACTGTCAAGGAGAAGTATGGTTGCAGATTGAAGGTCCTTCTCCTCACTCCCCAAGCTGCTGCAGTTGCTGAACTAGAGAAGATTGAGAAAAGAGAGGAAGAGTGTTCTTGTCAAGTTGATGATTGGACAAGTCTTATAGATTCAAGGATTAAAGAAGATAAACCTGTAGGAACTGGACGTATTGTGAATATTGAAACTAAGGTTTCCTCCAGCACTCAATGTCCTCCTGGATACAGAATAGTGTGTCCGGATATCAAGGATTTTACTCCAGTGTCTTCAGGATCATATGGATCATACACGGCTCCAAACCCGTCTCTTGGGGGTTCATACTCTGTTCCAAGTTCAAGCTTCCAAGGATCTCTTTCTCCCAACCCCCAGGAGTCTCTATTTGCTCCATTGTTTGCCAGAACTGCTTCAGGATCAGAGATTTTAGCAGAACCCTCAGAGCCCCTGGAGAAGGATGAGAATGATGTATCTGGGCTTAGCCTGAGCACTGAGCATACTCAAACCAGTTCAAGTGGTTCCGTCAATTTCCCTGAGGAATGATTTATGAAATGCTGTTAATTTATATATTTATATATTTATGTATTTATCTATTTATTTATTTATTTATTTATAGCAGAATTCAGCAAGGTTATGTACCATTATATTATTAATAAACTGTTTTGCAAATTACTGAGGTTTAAGAATGAGATGAAGAAAAATGTTGTTTTGCAATTAATATAAAGGTTAATCATAATATTATTGCAGACTATTAATATATGTTTTCACTAAAGAGCAAAAATATTAGAAGTACACTCCATTCATAATTGAACTTTTTTTTATACAGTGATCACCAGAAAACAATGTAATAGAAAGACGACATTATAGCAATACTCAAGTGTATTTGATGATGTTACAAAGCAAATAGTTTTACTAGACAATTGTAAAATTACTTTTTTTTTGTAAAATGGGTCTGTATACACTGCACAATTGCTGTGTTTCATGGTTATTAAACTTTTTAAAGTTAAAACTTGACTCTCAAAGTCGTCATCCTATGTTTTCTGGTTATCACTGTATTAACTATGTAGTCTTTTTTAGATTTTCACTGTGTTTCAAAACTAGCTCAAAATAAATTATGACAAATCTAGCTGAAAAAAAAATCCAGTTTTTTAAGTTACGGTATATGTTGATTTTTGTTCAATCCTGCCATTTTCATTCTATTCCTAACAAACAAGTTTTCTCAAAGGGACTGTAAACGTAATTTCGATTGACCTTCCATTTTATCGAATGTCCGATTCACTATGGTATCCTCAAAAGCTTTGTATGATCAAGAACAAATGAGGTATCCATATTTTTCTCTTTGAAAGTGTATCATAACTAACTTAAGGTGTCAAGGGTACCGTTAAAGCTCCAACAATTAATTGCGCACTAAAGAAAATTTGGAATTCCCTGCTCTGAGAGCTCAGCATTAGAAGTTTTATTATATTAAAATTAATAATTTCTCTTCCGTATTTTTTTTTGGATACATTTTTTGCATTTAACTCTGGTGAACGAAATGCGAAAAATGCAACCCTTTTTATATATTCGTAACAAAATTGAATTTCCCTTTATTACTTTTTTCCTCATCGGGGGGATTTAAAAATAGGTTTTGTATAAAAAAATAATTAAATGAAAATACGTCTTCAGCCGTCCTGACATCATCAGCTATGAAATTTTTAGAATCGAATTTTTTACGTTAAAGCCTAGAAAAATAAATAAATAATTGATTAGATAAACGTATCAAGGGTGTATACCGTTCAGAATCGAACATTGCCATCTATGCACTTAGGGTCACTTGAAATTACGCTTACAGTCTCTTTAAGGGACAGTTCCCGAAATCTGATCACTCGTCTTGTTTCGTATTCTCCGGACTAGCAGGATGTACCGTTGATATCTCCGTCGGAGGTGAAGGTTGGACAGGAGGCGGAGACACGTACGGAGGAGGAGGGTCCTAAACAATTTCACCATCAAGATTTTTAACCATTGTTCAACTTTTTTAAAACTTCATTAAATCTGATTTATTTTGTTGCTCCCAAAACTACAACAAATGGACAAAAATGACTGTTTTCTTCATAGTACGTCATTAAAAGTAACTGGCCCTGAGGAGACTGAGGATCAGTGTCCACTAAAAATGTAGGTAATGCCAATTTGTTTCAAAAGGCGAAAAATATTTTATATGTAAAACTTTTAGTACAGTGGTTTCCTATAGCAGGACATTGGGAGTTGTGGGGGGGGGGGTAACAGGGGTAAACTACCCAGTTTACTAGACGTGCCGATTAAAAGACGACCATGCAGTGCTGGAGTTTAATGAATACACGCATTTTTAGTTGGAAAAACCAGGTAAATTACCTTTCAGACCAGTAAAAAGGCCTTTATTTGAAAACGCAATTTAAATGCAGTGTTAATTTCGGTAAAACATCAGAAGCATGTGTGTTGTATATTTTATATCACTAGCCTTATAGGGCGCTTCGCGCCCATCTTCTAAATTAATTGTGAACATGTTCTCTTTGTGTACATCGTAAAACAAAACAAAAATAATTCGCGGATTTTCACAAAAAATTTCGTGGATTTTCAAAATTTTCAAAAATTTAATGAAGATCGAATTTTGATGGAGACAAATATTTAAAATTTTGATCATTCAAAAACCTTCCATGTGGTCACGTGATGTCCTACAAAAAATTTGGGCCCGATCGGTTCAGCCGTTTTGACGTTTATTGGATACAAACAAACAAACAAACAAACAGACAAACAGACAGACAAGCCAAATTTATATATTAAATACAGTGGTTGGCATTTCTTTTAATACAATGAAGACGACTTTTCTAAGTTTTAATTTCTAAAAAGCTGTAATCAAGTTACAAGTTTACAAGTAAACATAACAAGAATCTGTTAATTGAGAACTTCTCTTTATTTACTTTTTTATTCATCCAAGCTGTGTAAAATCTTATCAAAATTGAAATAGAAAGTTGTCTTTATTGTACTGATATATACGACGACTGTCAATAAAGAATTCTTTAGATTGTTATGTTGAGTGGGACACATTGTATTTGAGTTCATATTTGGTTTAACTAACATTATCTGGGGGGACGATTGGAGGTCCGTCGTCCCCGACGAATGCAAGGTTGTCGGCGGCCTCCCACCAGACGGTCTCTGTGTAGATGTCGTCGTCCGACGAGTCAGTATCCAAGGGGTACAGACCGAGGTCCACAGACATCACCTGCAGTATTTATTTTATCTCCGCTTTCGTTCATACATTCATGAAATACATATTGTATAAAAAACGGCAAAAAAGCATTTCACATTTATGAAAATTCGAAGATTTTTTATGATAATGAAAAAATGTAAGTTTAATTATACAATTTTGAATCATCTAAAAACAATCAGAAATTAATTCATTTTTTGTCACAAAATGTTATTTTCTAATATCTATATATCCTTGCCAACCGATTCTCGTAGACCTCAGATATTTCAAACTATGAATAATTTGTGGGATCAAATATTCAAGGTTCTAATATCAAAGGTTTACGCCATCAGGTTTTTGAGATACAGAGGTAGGAAATTTTGAGATTGTGTCAAAGACTCAATTCCTTTGATAAATAAAAAGCTTGAAGATCAATTAAAACGCAAAAAATAAAACAGAGCAATTGTCATTGAAAAAAAACTATATCCAATAATTTTCTAAACAAGAACAAGAACAACAAAAGCCATTTTATACTTATTTTGTGAATTAAGAAAAAATTGCCGGAATCCTCCACCTTCTTTTTTAGTGCAGATTTAGCTCGTTTCTTCTTAAACAATTCTTCTTTCCTCTGCTGTCTAGATTTCTTTATTCCTCCTCTATAATAAAGACAGTTTGTAATATTTTATTATTGTGAGACAGAGCTATTTATAAAAAATTGCATAGTATTCCGGAATGATTGCACAAAATAGTATTAATTGTCGCATTAAAATATATTTGCCCGAATCTAATTAAGTATCTATTCTTACCCGAAGAGTAGATTATAAGAATAGTAAACATCTTAATTAATTATACGATGCTACCTGATATTCTATTTTTACAAATAATCTGAAAACCCACAGTTTACCTGTACAGTCTCGACACCCAACATACAGTGCGTCCCATATCATATTAGATTAACTCCAAGATTTAACGCCGAAATACGCACATAATACTTCCCAAAATAACTGTGTATCCAACCTTTCCCAACCTACCTTGGTGTTTTCATATCCTGGATATTCTGTATATCCAACCTTTACCAACCTACCTTGGTGTTTTCATATCCTGGATATTCTGTATATCCAACCTTTACCAACCTACCTTGGTGTTTTCATATCCTGGATATTCTGTATATCCACAGTAATTTTCTTAGTGTCCTGAAGTAAATACAAACTATGAAGAAACGAAAGAGCAAAACCTAATTAGAAAAAAAAACAAGACGGAGAAGAATAAAAATAGAAAGAGGGCCGGGGGGGGAGTAAATATAAGCATTGAGATTTAAATAGAATTTAAGATGGTTTTGTATCGTTATTGGAAATAGTGTAGAACAAAATAAGAATATTAAAGTAAAGAAAGATTACAAGAAGATTTAAAGTGGAAATTACATGAATAAGAAGTGGTGGCATATGCAAGGTCAAGTAATTTCTAGAAAGATGAGAGAACCCGGATTTTAAAATCGTAAAAAGGAGAGGACTGTAGTGTATTAAAAGAGGAAAATATAAAGAAAAAGGATCAAAAAGAGAAAGTTTTGATGTTAAACTGAAGAGAAGGATTTGGCTATACAGTGAGACCTATAATATACTATTTAAGAATACAAGTGTAAAACAAAAGTTATGGTTTTGAATAATTTAAAAGTTGATTTTTATAGGCAGCTGGTAAAATACATAATTCTGTATAAAAACATGAAAAAAAAACAAGAGATAACATAAAACAGAAGATTCTAAGAGGCTGGGAAAATGCTAAAGAGAAGATGCCAGAAAACCGACGCGGTGTGATGTCTGATGATTACCTGAGCTATCGGGGGTAGAGAAGATGAACCTGTTGGTTTGGGAGCAGTTTCAGGAGCAGCAGTAGTAGTGGTAGCAGCAGCTTTAGTTGCAGCAGTAGCGTCTTTAGTCGCTTCATTCTGCTTCGCGATATCATATCCTCTACCTAGAAAATATAGATTCCTTCAGATTTGAATCATTAATTAAAGGATTGGAATATCCACAGATGAAAAATTCAAACTCTTTCAATACAATAATCTACCGAACACTTTTCACATTTTTGGTCATTTCTCTGGTTTTTTATTTCAACAATATTATATTTAATTTGATTATTTGTATCTATACATGCATTATGCAGCCATGCATGAAATTATAAATGCTGGGACTGAGTTCTTGTAACAAATTATAATATTCAAATCCTTATATCTTTGCATCCTGATGGTGTAAACCTTAAATATTTTAAACTTAGAGTATTTCATCTTACGGAATTCATAGATTGAAAAAGAACAGGTCTGTGACAATGGATATTTAAAGGGATGGGATTAGAAAATCAGAGTTTTTGTTGCAATAACTCATTTCCTTTCGTACTTTGTAATAAACCCCTGTATTTTGTTTTGATACTCCCCCATCCCCCACTATCCATAGTAATTCCAGAATAGAATCAAGATTAAATATTTTTCTGTTAAAGAATTTCAAAATAAATACTAAAATTGAGAGAAGTTTGAGGAAGAGAAATACGTATATATTTATACATTTATACTAGGATAGTTTCTGTCCCATAAATCTGCCTACTGTGGTTACAGAGATTACTGTTACTACCAAACTTGGGATTTTCAACGATTTTCAACTTTATTTACTAATAAAGTTAACCTCCTTTCTTTCCTCTACATATTCTCCTTCAATTTTCCTCCCTTCCTTCACCTTCCATTCTTTCTTCCCTTGCTTATCCTTTCTCTTCATGTTCTTCTTCAATTTTCCTCCATTCCTTCACCTTCCATTCTTTCTTCCCTTTCTTATCCTTTCTCTTCATGTTCTTCTTCAATTTTCCTCCATTCCTTCACCTTCCATTCTTTCTTCCCTTTATTATCCTTTCTCTTCATGTTCTTCTTCAATTTTCCTCCATTCCTTCACCTTCCATTCTTTCTTCCCTTTCTTATCC